TGTGGGCCTTACCTAGGGAGGTGTATGCAAATACAGACTGCCTAGGAAAATCCACGCTGACACCCACCCATCAGGGCATTTTGGTTCTTGCATTAATCCTCCCGAGAACTGGCCCACTGCTTGCATTAGTGCTGAGGGTGGGCGAGCCGGGTGCTGAGGGTGCGCGAGCCGGGTGCTGTGAAGATAAGTACAGCACCCTGCCAGCCCCTCCCACCAGCCATGATCTGCACAGAGACCCAGTGATGACATTGTTGGGTTTAAGATCACGTATGCAATAACATTTTTATACTTATTTAAAATGTCATTAGCACATTGATCAGGTGTTTGGGAGGCAAAATATAAGATTAAAGGGGTTCTAAAGCCTCCTGTTTTTTTTGCCTATATCTACTGCTGACAAGGCAAAAAGTTTTTCAAAAAACGCTTAAACAGCGGTTTAGACTGACCTTATTATCGCTGCGCGCTCCCGCGGCGAGAGTCCGGAACTGTTCGTGCGGCCGCAAAGGATCTTGGGGCGGGCGCATGCGCAGTTCGGATTCTCGGGCGGGAGACGAGATGCAAGGTAAGCCTATGGACGCGTGCACCCGCATGCAGACACCGCTGGGGAGGGGAAAAAAATGTATCCTTTTAATGTCACTTTAAACTTGGTCTTTAAAGCAGAATTACCCTAAGTCACTCATTATATTTGTTGTTGTGAGTTCTCCGATTTTTATACAACAATTTCTGTCACCCCACAGGCGTTGAACGCAGGAGAATTTATGATATCGTTAACGTTCTGGAAAGCTTGCATATGGTCAGCCGCCTCGCAAAGAACAAGTACATCTGGCACGGCCGCCATAACCTCAACAAAACCTTCGAGGCGCTGCGGCAGGTCGGGGAAGAGTGCAAGTACACCGACCAGATCCTCCATCTGAAGAAACGAGAGCAGGAGGAGCCGGAGTCTCTGGACGAAGCCCCAATCCCCAAATCCCTGGTGAAGCAGACGGAGATTAGCTTTGTGGAGCTGCCAGGACTGGAGTTCAGAGCTGGTAAAAAAAAATCTTGCTGCTTTGCCTTCTGTTTTGTTCGATCGGGTCCAAGTCTTTGTGACTTCCTGGAACTCGACACAGGAGGCCCCGTCTGTCTGTCACAGCTTTTTTGAGTTCTGTATTTTCATTGCTTCTGTGATGTTGTCTGTCCACCTCGGGAATGAGCTACACCGGTGATTTTAAAGCAGGAGAGTCCAGCACTGGATAATGTGAGCTCATTTTCGAAAACTTTAATTTTAAGAAGTGTTGTGATTATACATACTGATATGTGACCGTGTCATGGCCTCTGTGCTTCCCTCCACCTAAGACAGGGGTGGGCAGCTTTGGGGGGCGTACAGCCATGTAGTCCCATAGAGAAGGACAGGGGCTGCGTACTAATCACACGCAGCACCTGTCCTTCCTGGGAGCTGCCCGATATGGCCCTGCACGGAGCTGTGTGAATGAGGGCTAAATGTGACACCGAGCACTTTATTTTTATGTTTGATACTATATTATTCAGCACATACATAGTATTTGAGGTTGAATAAAGACATTAGTCCATCAAGTCCAACCTATTAGGATCTCATTCTAGGAGTACCTGTACCCCTGTATATTACCTGTACCCCTGTATATTACGGTCCCTTAAGAAATCATTTAAATGTGTAATGATATTATTATTTTTCCTTTTTTTAACCTTACCATTTGTCTACGCAGCATCAGTGAACAGCAGGAAGGAGAAGTCTTTACGGGTAATGAGCCAGAGATTCGTCATGCTCTTCCTGGTGTCCAAACCGCAGATTGTGAGCCTGGAAATCGCTGCCAAAATTCTCATCGGAGAAGATCAGATCGACGATTTGGATAAAAGCAAATTCAAAAGTAATTATTTTTTTAAATTTAAATTCTAAAACGTGTTAATTTACAACTTATTTAAAAGTCCATAATTTTAGCAGATGAACCATCAAATTTAGCACTAGGGCTCGCCATGCACAGCTCGTTTTCATTTGAAAGAAAATGAATCCGTTCCCCCATCAACATTAAACAGCATGGATGGGGAACCTCCACTGTCAGCTACATGAGCTGCCTGAATAAAGTGGTGCTGCCGAGCAGTGGCTGGATCGATTAAGATGCAGTCAACGGTTTGGCTGATTTCATTATCCACCCAGCTCAGTTGACTTCTATATTGACTGTTGTTCAGCAGGGTGGTGCTTACACCCATGGCTTAAAGAACAACTCTAGGCAGAATAAAAAAACAAAAACCCTTGCATTGGGGCTTTCCTTGCGCTGCAAGGGTTAAAGGAGAACTATGGTGTAAGAGTTTTTCCCCATAGTTCTCCTAAGGGTCACAGGAGGACATAAACTAGCGTCCTCCCGTAACCCAAAGCTCAGTATATAGCGGGCTACAGCTCGTGGTATACTGAGACGCTACAGCCGGGACGGATCCCAACATTACTGTCGAGATCCACCCAGCTGCGTGAGTGACAGCTGGCTCTGCCTATCTAGAGGCAGAGCCAGCTGTACCCTCCCCCG